TGGACTCAATTTGCACTATTTCTGGCAGTCTGCAACCCCCCTGACATGAATCTGCCCTGCAGATCATGAGTAGGGAACATGGGGCATTTCTGATGTTGAGCAATAGCAACTCCCATCAGCCCTAGCCATAATAGTAATTGGTGAGATGATGGAATTGCAATCCAACAACTTCGTGATATCTACATTCCTGCTGTATGGATAACACTAATAATCTACCCTGAAATATTTCTGAACTTTTTATATGAATTCAGGGGGTAGAATCAGATAATCAGAGAGCGGAAAGACACCACAAGGGCCATCCAGCAAGTCTCTCCTCCTCCACTGCATGCACAAACACATATTACCAAAGTCACAATAGTGTTGGGCAGATCTATAAAATTGAATAATGTATTCATGTGTTTATGATTTTAGGGAATTGTGACTCGGATCTTATATGCAGAATTCAAAGGATCGTATCTCAGGTATAATAACATCCAAAATCCACAAAACAGCAGTACCTTCATTGGGCTAACCAAAATGTGCAAAATACATGATATAAGCTTTTGAAATTCCACTGGCTTCATCAGGATGTTAAAAATCAAAGTAAGTATGATGTAGTGGTTTGAGTCTTGCACTAGGACTCTGGAGACTAGGGTTCAATAAGCCATGGAAACCTGCAGGGTGACCATGGACAAGCCATGCTCACCCACACTTTCTCAGCCCTAGGGAAGGTAATAACAAACCTTCTCTGAACAAATCTTGCCAAGAAAACCCATGATAGGGATCCCTTAGGGTCACCATAAATTGGAAATTACCGGTACTTGAAGGCACACAGCAACAACCTACCATGTGTGGATTGCCCATTGTGTGGATTAAAACAACAGGAACTGGAACATATTGTATTCCATAAATGCACAAATAGTGATATCTAAGTTATAAGTTGAATAACATCACTGGCAGACCCCATGGGGTTTCTTCAAATGGTTTTTCATATATATTTTAAAAAGGATAAAGGAACTTTTTAAGACCATTGGGTAAAAAAGAGAAGACAAAGAGATGAGTAGTTGGAGAGGGGAAGGAATTGCAGAAAGAGAGCACAAACCAA